GCGTTCATCACAACTCTCCCGTAAACTAAATGAAAATAATGCTGAATCAATATAAAAATCTATACACCGTAGAATCAAATCATCTTTAGGAAATTCATAACACATGATAATCCTAGGTCTGGAAATAGACACTTCGCATCACTCAGCAACAAGTATGCAAGATTTTAGAGTTACTAAATCATAAAACACTGAGTTCACTTTGAAACTCATTCAGAATGTTACATGAAGAACATGCAAGTTGGAAAAGCACATTTGGATTCCCATCAAGTTAAAATACAACTCGGGGAAGCATGTCTTAATAACTCATTGAATGTGGTTGATCACATTAATTGTAGTCAACTACCATGAGCTGCCAAAAAAATATATTTAGAGTAATCACAGTAATTAAAAAATACTCTAATAATAACAAGATACCTTGGAATACTTTAGCAGATTTGATAAATACAGAAAATTTTATTTTTACACCCTTTTCTAGATAACTTTATCAAAACATATTAAATAAAAATAAAGATATTTTTATTCCTGAAAAATAGAAACAACTATTGTATTGCTGCTCACTTGACAGTCAAAATATTACACTGAGATTGGAATTTGAGAATATTAGCACATGCTAAAAGAATACACATTATAATTTCTGTAGGTAGTTTTAACAAACTAAACATAATCAGTATAAAATTACAATTTCAAGTAGTATATAGATTATAGCATAAGATTAATTTAAAACTCTTATAAAATTAGATCACACATATGAAAAATATTGAAATGATCCACAAATGTTTCATAGATTTTTGGGGTTTTTGGCTTCTACTTTTACATGATGCAGACATTTCCTATGCTGCCTTAACTTAAAATGGTGTCTTCTTTCTGAATAGTCCCAGATCCTACACATTAAGCGTATGGTCCTGCTTAGAACAATCTAGGGAAGGGAGAGATGATTTTGTACAACTTAACTTTTTTCTGACAGTGTTGAGAAATTCTAGGCATTTAAACTGTTGTGATAGGCTATAAGCAAAAAAGAGTCTTAATAAAAGTCAGTTAGAAAAGTCAGTTTTACAGTAGCCATTCCAGACTTGTTCTCACAAGAAATTTCCCAAATGTCCCTGCTGTATCAGACTATTATCAGCTTTGCTCTCTCAGTGCTTGGTGCGGATGACTCTCGGGGGAGAGTTTAGAGACTATAGGAAGCGGCCATTACAAAGCCATTATTGGATGCTGTGGGGTAAATCATGAAATTATATTGTAACTCACACAAATAAAAAGCCAAGAAGAGTTTGTCATTGACATGCAATGAGATTGAAGTTCCTGTGCTGATTTTTTTCTTCTGAGAAGCTGTATTAAATCTGAAGCACGGAACTATTGAGGTAAAGCTTTGTCATGCCTTTAAATCTTCATGTTTCTATTGATATCCGGTACAACAAAACACAAAATAAAACTGGTCTCTGGCATAATTACTGTTGACAGAACAACTTATAAATGAGAAAAGTACAATTTATAATATATACATAGAAGAAACTTAACATTGTTTGCATGACAAACTTTTTGACCTAATAAAAGATAGCTGAGTTGATTTGTAAATCGGCAATGTGTGTAATTAGGAAAATGTGCATCATTGGAGAAAAAAGAAACTTTATTTACACATGAGTGTGCTACATGCCTGTTCCCCAAGGTGACTCCGAATAGTAAAAGCTGGAAGCCATAGAAACATACTGTGAGGATCACTGTAAAGACACATTCAAACGTAGAGAATAAGAACATTTACAAACTAAACTCAACTATTGTTTCATTGAACTATCACTTTGAGTAAAACGATGGGTGAGCCTACTAACTATTATAGCATGCACTTGTGTCTAGAAATTTAAGCATTTATTAAATCTAATATCAAAATCCATCAAGTACTCTCTAAACTATACAAATGAAATTATCTAATGAGATTACTTTTGAAAGTTCATATCCATTTAATGACTTTTATAAAAATGACATTTTGGTTTAATACTAGTTAGAAGTTGTATTTATAATTTTAGCTTTCCCCAATTCAATCTAGGATTCAGAACATTTTAGTGAATGGCAAACTCCAAGTGCTGGGGATAATTAGAATAAATTCTTAAGGTTAAGATAATAGTTACCTTCTACCTAATTAGGTCTGATAAATGGACTGTGTATATTCAAAACTTTCAAGTTTAATCAGCTATTTCCAGATATATGTAACTATCAAAATGTATAGGACAGGCATCAAGGTGTATGCCTGGAATTTCAGTACTCAGGAAGTTGAGGTAGAATAATAGTAAATTTGATGTCAACATGGGTTACATTTGATGTCAGCCTGGGCTAAATCATGAGTTTCTGGGTGAGCACACTGGATGACATTGTCCTAAGTCCTTTTGTTCTTATTTATAATTTCCTATACCTTTAACTGAGGACTTGCCCTCTTGTGTCGTGGTGTTGCCTCAATAGCCTTGGAACTCTGAGAAGACCCAGAAAGCCTCTCATTGGCAGCTTCCTT